ATACGTCCCTGCGCTTCTTATGTGGAATCATGAATTAGTTTCATAATCTTGAATCTGATGTACTATTTTATCAATTTGAAACTTAAATTGTTAAGTTCATATTATATATTCAATACAATGTTTATGAATATGGGCCTAAAAAAGAGACTTTTCCACAATAATAGTGTTTATTTATATTCATTTATTTAAAGCGCATAATTTATCCTATGGGGGGAATACCTCAAAAAGACCTTCCCCCCATGATTTTCGATCTTCTCTTCATGCAGTAATGCTTAAACTTGTGTGAGAACATAAATGAAGTATTTATACTAACTGTATTTGTAAACGTAACTGAATTAAGCACCTCCTCCAATCAAAAGCAAGACCATTTATGTTCAAATAATTTCTCAAACATTTTTATCTGCTGAATCATCATAAATTTTTATTACATATACATTTATTGTTCATCATCATACATTTTTATTACACATACAACTTTTATTAATTTTAATTACTGAATTATTGAATGTCAGGATATATTTGAAAGATTTAAAAAGAACAAATACCTGCATCAACATTTAAATTACTTCTATGCATAAAGATGAAAAAATATTTATTAATGACGCACAATTAATGATCACTCGTGCTTCATGTCCAGCATAATGAAAAACAGTCTTTAGCCTCTAAAAAACCAAAACAAGCTGTAATTTCTTAAATAAATAAATAAATAAAAATAAAGTTAGGAATTTCACTCCCCCCTCCCCAAATAAAAAAAATGAGAGGGGGAAGAAAGAAACAGCCTTATGATTCGAGGTCAGTCCCTTTGCATCTTCAGACGTCAAAGAATCAGTGAAGTGATCTACTCACTGGAGAGAAGCCAAGATCCACAAAGAACTTCTGGGGCAGAAGATATACTTGGAAAGCAACAACAGGTTACAAGGAATTCTTTTTAATTCGTCGCAAAATACTTCTGTCGTATCACGGTCTTTTGTTCTGAACGACATCTTGAATGATTAGTAGAATTTCTAGACATGATGCGCGAACAAACAACAGGATTCTTGGGATACGCAGCAAAAAAAAAAAAATCACTTATGCCACTTCCAATAATTATCAAATAAGAATTACCTACCTTTCCCCCAAAAAAAGGAATTAGCCAGCGAACATATTCTGAAACCACGTATAGCAAAAATGCATAATACAATTAATTCCTTCAATGAAGAATTTTATTAAGAAAATGATGAAAGCGAATGTCTGCCACGAATCCTACATCAAAGCAAACAAAGGTTTGATAATATAAAGGCTATCGGAAAAAAATAATGGGGTCGGGGCTCATACTTGTCGCAATAAATGCTGAGCAGTATCTTCCGAAATGAATATTTTTATTGTAGTTATTTAACACCTTTTTTACGTCGGCAGAGATCTTTGTTGAAGGTGGAAGCCAGTACTTTCCCACAAACTGAAAATTCATCTGCCATGTCAACTATTCTTCTGGTGTAAGGTAGTTGTCTGATACACAATTTAAAAATGCAGTTTATATATGTATGTCATTAGCAATACGGTATATCCTGAATAACAGTATCGCAGAACAACGCATACCATCGGTCCACATTCAGAAAAGAACGCCTAGAATTAACATTAGCTTTCAATAATCCCTGCATAAAAAAAGCATATAAGCTAATTGGGAAACATATATATAATCTAAAAATGGGCTTCTAGACTGTAAAAAATATAGTTTTCAAAGGTTTTGAATGAAAAACAGTGATAAAAAAAGGGTTTAATAACTTATCTACCATTTTCCAGTAGCTGATTCTTTTTCTTTCATAATATTCCTACTTCCCACTCCTCTTCTTAAGTCGTCACGTCCAGAATGAACATAGGCCTAGTAAAATTCTGTAGCCGACATATTTAACCATTGTTTCAAACTCAGCTAGAACCCTGGGGTGATATCCATCACTTTACTATAACTGAATCGCAATATCGGCAGAAAATTCTGTTATTTACGCAACATTTCTTTTAACAGTCAGTAAAATTGATATTAATATCAATCCTAGTATTGCTATTCATACATATGGTCATTCTCAGCAAAATTGGAGGGGAAATCTTGATCATTTGTGGAAATAAAACGTAAATGGAATACATTCATGAAGTGCCATATTCATGGGTTGCAGAATGTTTCTGTAAATGGTAATACCAAACTGCATAACAAGACCACGTACTGTGCACGTCTTAAAAGATTTAAAATCACTTGTATTTATTATTCGCTTGTCACTTGTTTGTGATTACAATCGTGATGCGCAGTTCTTTTAAGGATCCAGTGTGTGGAAGAAGGTTTTAACCAAATGATCCTTTGTAGGAAGAAACGAGACTTTATTCTGCAATATTTCCTTACAACATCCTATGTTTATTACGGAAGTTCTGCCCGCAAAATATTTTCAAAAAAGAAACCGGACCAAGCAAAACGTGTTTTATACAGTTCAGAACAACAACTTTTTAACTTTTTTACAGGAGCTCCGTGAAACCAAGAAACATAACTTTGACACACAAATGCAGCAATTCTATGCATTTACTGGAAAAAATGTGCTTCACCGCTCCTCAGAATGTTTCAAGACAACTTTTGTCAACCACATACGCGCTAAGAATGTCAGTGTCATATCCTGTTAGATTTCAGTATTCTCCGCATTCAATATTTGGTGTCAAGTTAAACAGTACATCTAACTTTCAGTAAACTGCATATACGTTGCATGCACACGCACTATCACGGAATTCCTTAGCTAAGAACTATGGCAATTCCTTAAGACCATTGCATTGGAGTCGCAATATTTATCATTTTGATCGAGGGAATAGAAAGGAAAAACACAAAATGCATTCTGCACTCAGGCCATCTCAGGGCCAACGCAATATGGCCTCTTTTTTATTTATTTTTTAGTCTCATTATCTGATTACAGAGCCGTTTTTTCGTCAGTTAAAATATTTTTTAATCATTACTTTGTGTCTCAGAAGTTTCTTCCCAATTGCCTGAATTACAAACCCATTAAATTTCACAATACTTCGCGCAACAGTTCTTCAGTTAGAATGCTAATACGAATACTAATTTGAAGCAGCTATCAAATTTTCGATGCGAGGAGTCCCACAAACATACTTACAATCAGAAGAAAGAGAATTACACACAGTGTGCAACAACTACTATACTAAAGAAGAAAAACTAATAACACTTCTTATTTAAAAGTTCGTATGTATTGCGTTTTTCTCCAGAAACAGCCATTACTGGCTTCAACATTCAACAGTTCTACCATTTCCACTGAAAGAACTACTCCAGTTTAGTTTCTACAGCTTGGAAGCATTTTTTGACAAAAAGTGCTGATGAGTAAGCACGTTTTTGTTTCCCCAAAAGTCACCCCTAAACTACAGTTTGAAGAAAATGCATTCGGCAGTGGAAGTCCAAACAAGAATTAGAGAAAATGCCTAAGAATTAAAGATCTCGTCAGACTGGCATCATAGCCTGCCCTATTTTGGAAGACAACAGAAATGGACAACAGAGCAGAAAGAAAAGGGATTACCAGTGTCAACAGTTAGAATTCGCCTTCAGGCAGAATAATTGCTCAACAGATGGGCATTAAAAACTTTACTGGTGGACATAACTAGTGTTTGATTCATGAAAGAAAAGAAATTATTTGTCAGGACCAAAACAATAGTTGAACTGAAGCTTCCTGTGGACTAGCTTGGAAAAAAAAAAAAAGATAGCTTTTTTGGAGTTCACATCTAAGAAAATTACAGAACAGAATTTGAATAGAGGGCAAATAATTAATATAGTAGATGAATTCCTTTGAATGAAAAACTTTTGATTGTTCTCCAAGCAGAATTGTTCGTTCAACAGGTGAAAAACCTATTTCTGTATTAACAACCAGAAATGCTCTTTCACTTGTGTTTTGCATTGTGCCGCTAACTGACCAAAGTTAAGCCTCATGATAATTTTCAAAAGAAAAATAGTTCTGAAAGGAAACTTCCCTGACCGGGGTCTTAATTGCACTGGATGTGCAAAAACTGATGTTGCGGTGGCCAAGAGAAATGTTTTTAAAAAGAAAAAAGGCTTTTTTCCAAACTCTGGGACTCATCATTCTTGAGCAAATACAATTCCATTTAGTGAAAACTGCAAAATCAGAAGCAAAAATACTTTGCACTGATATATCATTGATACCAGGCAGGCTTACAGAAATTTTACAGCCATTGGATCTCACCATCAATATAATTTTCAAGCACAGACTACAAAAGCAGTGGAAGGAATGGATGTGAAACTGACTTCCTTCCTTCATAAATTCCACATGGATTAGAAAAGCTTCATATGAGGAAGTTGCCTAGTGGGTTGATAAAGCAAGACAATCAGTCTGAATTGATATGATCATATCAGCTTTCATTAAATCAGAAATCATTAAAAAAGAAAATGAAAATAAAGATAGCAATGTTGGAAGAAGTGATTTAGAACAGGGTGATGAAAGTGACCTTGATGGTGGTTTGTTAAGCTTATTTAATTCTGACATTCACGAGTCTCATTTTTTGAAGGTTTTTTATAAATAAATGTAGTTTATTTTAATTATAAAATTTTGTTAGATTATTTAATTTACGAATCCGTTTTTCATAATACGGTAATTTATGGTGATAAGCATAGGTTACCCAACCTGTAAAAATAAAGTGTACTGGAAATCAGTACTGATAGTTTTTTGGCAAATTCAAAGTAAAATGTTCATATATTTTTTTATTTATTTATGTATTTACTTTTTATATTATGTTGTTGTTGGAAATGATGATCACATCAGTATGCAAAGGAATTTACTGATTGAATGAATATTAATTGCCATGGTTTGGAATGCTCTGCTGCAGCATATACGGCAGTGTGGGTTACCTGATTAACTTCAATTTTTTTTAGTCAATTATCCCATGTGCAGTATTTGTGCCAGAGCAGATTATTTACCCAAAATTATGGTATATTGTGCAGTTGGCTTAGTAAGTAGAAATTCATACCTAATGCTGAATAAATTGAATACTCTATAAAGTATTTTCTCCCTCCTCTCTGTATGCCTTAGTGGTGTAACCAGACAGCACATCTGGCTAGCAATCAGGAGGTCTGGTGTTTGATTTGCAGTGAGTACACTAGGTATTTTTCATGTTTCCTGCTTTAAAAAAAAAAAAGAAAGAAAGAAAGAAAAAGAAAAAAAGAAAAAAAAGAAAAAAGAAAGGAAAAAAAAAACCTAATTACTCGACAACTCTATTTGAAATGTAGATTAGATAGGATTAAATGATCTGACATTCAGCTAATGATTTATTACGTATTCAGGTTCAAACAACATTACATTAAAACTATCAATTTGCTTGCAACTGATGCCCATTTCAATGTTACACATTAATTCATCTTCCATGCATGCATGGGAATTTAAATTCTAAAATTTATAAAAATTAACCTCTGAAAAAATAAAACTATTAATGCACCAGCATTAAAAAAATAATAATAAATACATAAACTTTCATAAAATTTCAGTATATTTTTTATATTCCATACAAACATGTACCATATAGTCCAGCATATAAAGGACACTTTTAATACAAAAAATAAGATCAAAATCTAAGGGTGCGTGTTATACGAGTAAACTAGATATAGAAATCATACATTTAAAAATAAACAAACGATGAGCATACAAAAATTAGATTTCTACATGTACCTACACGCTGTTTATACAAAAGAAGTGATAAACTTATAAACTTAAAAATTTTTCACTATTGGATGACATGAAATGTTCATTATATTTGTTTTCCATTATATCTTGGCACATCATCAAATTCTGTTTCATTTTCACCGTCCTTTTTACTCTGATCCACATATATATCAATTATGACGGGATTATTTTCACTCCATGCTTTATCCACTCACACGCTATTTCTAGACTGGCATGACACATTCGGCTTTCTTTCGTAAATGTTTTTCCACCTTCTAATATCCATTATTCCACTGTCATTTTAAATTTTCTTTGAATAGTTTATTAACATATACATTTAAATTATATTAGTTAATCCACCTGCAATAACTGCCATGTCCGTATTACACTCTTTCAACACTTTCTTCGTATTATTCATTATATCCATCAGAACATGTCCCAAACTAAGACACTTTCAACATTCTTTAAAGAAATGGGATGCTTTTGCCAGATATTTCTTATCCACTATTTCACATCTTTTTTTGTTTATCCATCTTTGCTCGTAAACATGAATAAAAACAGCATTTTGGAAATTACATTTGGCATTGTCTTCCTTTTAAAAATAACCATGAGTTTTAATTTTGTAATGTCTGCTAGGCAGGAAAGCACTATGGTGAGGTGAGATTTTTCATGACCTGCTGTTTTTACGTGAATCATTTTTTTCCTTTCATATAAATTGTTTTATTTTCTACCATATTAAACATTACTGCAGTCTCATCCATATTTCTAGTATGTGACAGTAAAGATTTTTTTTTTTTTTTTTTTTTTTTTTCCCTTCATAATTCAATATCATATTTCTGGAAACTTATGAATTTGTAGTTCAAATCTTTCAGATGATTTTCTGAAACTTTTGTTTTTTCTCATAGAACTAAATTATTTCAGGCCATAAATTGATAACACCAACTCAAAGGTGCTTTAAAGTTTTCACTTCCATTTGCATTCTTTTTTGCCCATTTCAAGACAAATAGATGTACACTGTTTCTTCCTACAATTAATCCATTCTGGCGATTTTCTGGGACCCAGTTCCCAATACTTTCTTCTATGGCAGGCCATTTTCTTACTCTTTTATGCAAAACACATTATTCTTTGGCATATTAACTATTGTGATTTAATTTTTCTTCAAAACATGTATGAAGATTTCACCAACACCAAACTTCCTTCCTGCAGCACGATTATTAATTTGTTTTTCAAAATGAATGACTTTGCATTTGAAACTAGCACTGCGTTTGTTTCGTGTGACAAGAGCCATATTCACTACTAAAAGGAACACTAGATCAAATGTATTTCAAATGAAGCAAATGCGATCGATTCCTTCGATGTTCACTTCAAAATTACGGCTTCATACAACTACAGAAAGAGAAATCTGACTCAAAACTCTGAAATCTGAAGACTACTGTTGTGAACTCATTCCGGTCAGAGCTGCATTCTTACCCTAAATCATGTCCCACTTTTCTCGAAACTCTAAATAACATTCTCGTTTACACTTGCATTAAATAGAATCCATCTTCTTTGTAGAATTATTTACTCCCTCAAGTATTTCCCACACATACATATTGTTTCCCTTATTGCTCACCAATTCAGTATAGACTGCTTGAAAGGCCTGGGAAAAGTCTTTAAATGCATTACTTCAAAAGATAACAGTGCACATGTATCTTTCAGGTTTCTTCATAAAATAAAGGGTGTAAGATATTTAAACAATGGTACTCAAAACCTGTCCACAAAGGGTATTTACCAACAGGAAATATTTTTCAAAAATCTTAAATTATAAAAAATATATGATTTCAGCTACACTAAAAAAACTGAAAGATTTGGTGATGCATTACGTAGGTTTGCCCTCAAAGAATACAAATAAAAATTTATATAACATTTGATGTAATTGAATGCTTATATCAGGATTCGTAGCCACATTTTAGTTAAAAAAATAAGCACCTATAAGCACTTTTCAAGCACATTTTAAGAAAAAATAGCACCTGTCTGATTACATTATACACAACTGCATAACCTTAAAAAAATTAGACTTGGCAATTTAAAATATTTAGCAATGCAATATTATTAGAGAATGAGCATTACCTCAACCATGGAAAACAATTAACTTTTTTTTAAATTTTAAATGACAATTCAATTTACAGAATTAGTTTACATAAGAGGAAAAAAACTATGCAGAACTAAACTATATTACAGATTTAATAATGAAATTTCAGTTCAAAATATAGAAAATAATAATAATAAGCCATATTAACTGTATTCGCTTGGCATTTAATAATAAATACAATTTATTTTTCCACTCATATTAATATTTAAATAATTTAACTTAAATCAAAATTCTGAACATTTTCTAAATTTTGTTAAGGGAAAACTGTTATGCACAGTGCATAACAGTTTTCCCTTAACATACATTCCAAGGAAAGTAATTTAAGTAAAAAAGAGGAACATTTCTGAAATCAGAACGCGGAAAATTGCTTCATGCAGTCGTCCTTTAACAGTAAAAGCTTAACTAACCCGCATACTCAGAAATTGCCGAATATTCCGTATAGTCGAGTGTAACTGGAAAAAGAGGAGGGAGCTGGAGATTGTAGCCGTTCTTTAGATTTCTCGGCTAAATAAATGGATTTTGACATTTCGATATCGGCATCATATAAAAATAGACCAACGGAACTGAGAAATATTCTGCTTAGAAAGAACAGTAAAACTCTTTTAAGTATTCATAAATAAATCTCAGATTGAACATCAAAATTAATTATCTCTGCAAAATACCGCAAACGTTATTGCGCAATACGTGTGGCATAATTCTTCCATACATGATATTACGCAATCGGAATCAACAGCTGCCGGTATTCGGAGAATAAAGAACTAAATAAAGGAAAATAAAGAAACTCACTAATCTGGGGTGTTTTCGTTCTAATTTTGAACAGACCGTTAAATTTCCGGAATAGAATCATTCTTCGCTTGGGTTGGGTAGACCGCAAAAATTTAGTCCTATCCAATGCAAATTGGACAGTGGACAAAAAAAAAAAAAAAAAAAGTCCGCTGCTTCAATAATTAGCGATTTTGCGGAGAAAGGGAGAACCTCCCACCTCCGTACTATATAATGTGGCGCAAAAAAAAAAAAAAAAAAGAAATTATTCCTGACTATCGATTACTTTCATTTTATTTAAGCCATTCGAATATTATTCCTTAGAAACTAATCGTGTAAAAAACACCCATTTTTGAAGTTATCTACACTTCAGCAGCTACTGCAACTATATTATTATAAATATTCATACATATGCTAGGACGAGACATTTTTTCAATATAACTTTGTACAAAAGCTTTCCAAATCAACACCTTTAATACCGTAAGATCCCCAATACGTAAGGACTTGAGTAATGTAAGCAACACTTACAAAATCAGAGAAATCAGAGGATAAAAAGAAAAAGAAGCTTTATTGAAAAAGTAGCATGGAGCGCAATGCGACTGAAGGCCGAAACATCCCTGTGATGGTGTCCAGCAAGAAACATCCGGTCTTTAATAGGGGATATATCTCCCCTGACTGCTAGGCGGTTTCACAGCGTCTGCCCATGCTGAGAAATGAGGGTGTCATGAGTTGTTGAGCATTTGCTGCCCATTCGTCTTGCAGCCAATCGAAGCTCCGGAATCGTTACTGGTGGTAAGGTACGAGCTGCCAAGCGTCTGCCTAGAAAATCCCATATATGCTCGATGGGATTGAGATCCGGAGATCGTGCCGGCCAATCCATACGTTCAATATCCTCACTCTCTAAGAGCTGTTCGGCAGCTACTGTGCGATGACATGGTGCATTGTCGTCCATGAAAAGGAATTGTGGACCCATAGCGCCTCTAAAAAGAAGAATCTCGTTACAATAACGGGTCCCGTTGACTGAACCTGCGTCGAAGATGTGAAGGTCTATACGACTACCAAGCATGATGCCTCCCCAAACGAGAACACCGCCACCTCCATACCTGTCCCTTTCAATGATGTTCGAGGGATGATTGCGGCTTCCCCGCTCTCTCCAGATGAGTATGCGATGAGAATCGCTACTCAGACTGAATCTGCTCTCATCTGTAAAGAGTACTCGTCCCCATTCATTCTCTCTCCAATTCCGGTGTTCCCGGCACCACAGAGAACGCCTTCTCCGATGGGCAGGCGTTAGAGGTACACACCGTACAAGGCGTCGTGCAAACAGACCACCACCGTGCAGTCTTCTGGCCACGGTAAAACGCAATATCGCTCGTCCAGTCGCCTGTGTCGTGTGTCTAGCGATTTCTCCCGGTTTCTGCCGCCTGTTTCTTCTAGCCTGTAAGGCAATCTGCGGGTGTGGTTCCTCGTGGACGACCACTACTAAACCCCCGGATAGCTGTTCCTGTAGTTTGAAATTGTCTCCAAAGTCGTGAAACGATGCTGTGAGCAATTCCGAACTCTGCAGCCA